GGGGGATACAAGTCTATAGCTTGCACAAGATGAGGGGTCTTTTCCTTCTTTAGGGAGAACTTTCCTAAAAACCTTTATTCAAATGGTGGTAGTACATAAGGGAGTAGATATGATGTATTTTTATGAAGCAAATGGATCTTTGCACTCTGCTACTGATATTAGTATTCCAGGCTTCCTTTTCCCCTCAGTTTGTCTCCCTCACTCAAGTAATGTAGCAGTGCTGATGGAGAGCGGTAGGGGTGGAGCAACCAATGATGCTGTCAGGCGCCTGATGTCCTCCATATCAACCAAGCTAAGCACACCCCTATCTGCATGCATGAGCTAAGGGCAGATGGATTCCATGAAGTAAATGCTACATGAGTCATCTGCCCTTAGTTAAGATGGCCACGACCAGAAATGCTAGGGGGTGTTTTTTCAAAATGATTTCTCAGCAAAATAAAGCATGGAGACATGGATGGATGGATGAGTTTGCTATGAATGTTATCAATGAATTTATAAAAAAAAAAAAAACCGCTTTGGTTTTTTTTTTGGGCTCAGGTGCAGTGTAGTTCCACTTTAAGTTCCACTTTAATCCTCTTAACTTGTGGTATTACACAATGCCATTCACTAGGCTGGAAGAGCTGAAATTAAAGCACCACACCACTGCTAAGAGGTCCAGATACAACTTTATTCCATTAAAGTTCAGGGGTATAATTCAAGAAGTAGCCAATGCATTTCAGGGTTCTATGTGCCCCCTTCATCAGGGCTTGACTGGCAACAAAGTGGACAAACCATAAGTTAACTGAACCTACAATGGTATTTATTTCAGTGTGAATTGAAAGCACAGGCCTGATCAGCTGCTTGTTTGGCAGCCACTAGGTTGGAGCACTGTGACATAACAGAACAGGTGACGTCATTGTTCCCTCTGAGCCTTGACACCAGCCAACACCAAGTATTTTAATGTTAAAATGTCTTTTGTTAACTGAAAAAAGAAAATACATTTTCAAATCAAATTCAGGTGCTGCTGCAATTTCCTAAGCTCGCTCTCAAAAAAAAAAACATTTTGTACAAAATGCCCAAGCATCTATCTTCCCTTCCTTCATTCTTCTGTAGCTTACTAATTTTCACAGAGGTAGCACTGAAATACATGTAAGAGCTCAGACAACCTCTTTAACAAGATATTCATTTTTAATAAGGCTTTTCCACTTCTATAAAATGCTGATAAATCCATGAGATGTGTATAATAAAGTCATGCTACCCCACTTACAAATCTATTTTTGAAAGGACACCGTAAAACAGCAGTTTCTTCAGGAAAGAAGTCTATTGCAGGCATATTATATAGCGCAGACACTTTGCAGTGTATATGCTACTTTCACATCAGTCCCAGTCCTTAAGGTGCTTACAATCTCTAAGGTCACTACCTCAAATGTATACATACACATACTAGGACAGATTTAGATAGGAGCCAATTAACCTACTCACATCTCTTTGGAGTGTGGAAGGAAACAAGAATAGCTGGAGAAGAAACCCACACAAGCACAGGGAGAACATGCAAATACCAAGCAGATAGTGTTGTGGTCGCCTGTGCTGCACAAAGTCACTATACTGTATGTATAAACTGTAAGAAAAGATTGTAATAGTGGTATAACTTCAATGCATAGGTGTGAAGTCAGCCCCAAGGATGGTTTCCCCACCACCCCCATAAAACTCATATTTTATCTTGCAATAGCACCACTTATAGCGGGTAAAAAAAAACAAACCTTAGTAACTGGGAAATTGCTCACCATGTTTCCATTTTTTTTCCCCTGGTAGATTATAATTTCAAACACAGAATTAAAATGTATTTACCTTAAATGTTTTCTTTGAATCTTGGGGGAAGAAAAGTTTTAGTTGCCATCTCATATTTAAAACGTATAAATGGTAGTTATGAGTAGCACTTTTTTTTTTCCTTCTGCTTTGAGGAATATTTTATTTTGAAGATTTGATAGAAGTGCTTATATTTTGAAGAAAGAGGAAAAAAACAAATTTTATTGCTTGCTAGGTATTCCTACACTGAAAATCCAAGAGCCATAAATCCTTGCAGGCAAGAGAGAAGAGAGGGAGAACATGGTACTTACTTTCTTGTACATATATCCACTAATTGTATATATAACAGTATAATAGTTTTTTGTATTTGTTTGTGAGCATGCTATGAAAGTTTTAAGGAAACCTGCATCTTGATACTTGCCTGTAGTTATGGGACTTGCACTTAAGCAAACCTGAATTGAGGAAAGTTCTCCCACACCATTGTTGGCAGCACACTGTAGACCACTTCAGGTGCCGGTGCATCATGTCCCTTTTTTCGATTTCAATACCTTCCTTGGCCAGGTGACAAATGGTAATCCAGGTTCCTGAGTTTAGAGGAAAGCACAACCTCCTGTCAACCACTAAGCCTATCACAGGCAGGCAGTACAATATTGAGACTAAGGAATACATGGCTTCTTGACTATGGAAACTGTGTTTTATAAACCAATTCAGCCTTGGATTTGGGGGCACATGGTACCCTGAAATGAAAGGCCTGATGCATAAGAACATGGAAGTACATGGGGTGTGGATTTTTTTTTTTTCACTTCAGGTTTGTTTAACGGGCACTGTATCAAATATTAGTAACCTTGCAGCTGTTATATTGAGATGTTCCAACTTTTCCAAACCATGCAGATAACCAGCAGCTCCTGGTGCATATCACTGTCACGAAGAGTTCTACTCCCAAAAAGCATAATCCTGTGGGCTCAATGGTGTGGTTAGAAGTATCGTATTGCATGGTACATGTTAAGAGTTTTTAGCAAGAAAAAAAAAAAATGTACAAGAAGAAAATATATAGGGTGATTTACTAGGGATAGCATGTTACACCCATTCACCTCCTCTTTACATTTAGGAAAAGAAATAACAAAGTTTTTCTCCTGAATGGTTATTTGAAGTTAAGAGAAGTGGGATGCAGCATTGATCCAATCAGCTCAGTTCTCCCTGAGAGTGGCTGGTTCAGGCTCTTGCTGAGAGGCTGAGCCAGGTGCCAGTCCAGACATCTGGGTGGATCTTTCCCCAGCCTGGACCGGCTGAGTGATGTCCGCCAACAGCTGACTTTAGTCTGCTGTCAACTGAGAACTGGTAACAGCAGTTTCTGCACTCCTGTGATCCATAGAAGCAGTACAGCCAAACAAGCTTTGGCTGTACTTCCTTTTAACAGTGGCTAAGGTGACAATTACTCATTTTAGTAAGTTGGCTCCTTAATTTTGAGGAAATATTAAAGTGCTTCTCCAGACAATAACCGTTTGGGGGATATCAACATGTAAATTATACTTTTTTTTTTTTTTTTTTTTTTCTGTATACATACTTCTGTGATCTACCACATGAATGTCCCAGTTTGAGCAGCTACTAGACCCGATTAGTTGGTGCCTCTGTGTTCATAGTCATGGGCCTGTAGTAATATAAGGGAAATTTTCAAATATCTGGTAAGGTGAAGCCCAACCTTGGATCCACTGCTATTATTACTAAACTTTCAAGTGAAAGTGTATGGACACAGAGGCGAATATAGATTACATGCCACCCTGATCCCACTGATTACTATTTAGATTAGATTTGTGAAATAGCCCTTTACTGAGGGACATATTTTTAAGCTACAGCTTGCATATAAGGCACTTTGGGTGTCAAAAACACCACTTGTAAGGGCACTTGATGTCTTTTGTATTTTTTTTCCTGCCTGTAAACGGTCCTATATGTTAGCCTAAGTGTCTTTGAGCACACAGGCGTTTAGAGACAAAAAGACCCAATCACTTCCACAGTAATGAGAGGAGCGTTTTGCCAATTCAAAAATTTCCCGACGCACCTAAACACGTGTAAATGAGTCTAAATGCACTTAAGTGCAAGGCAAATTTAGTACTTGAGTGGTCAATCCAACGGAAAAAATAAATATTCTGGTCAATGAAATGAACGGCCAAGAGCTTGACACTCCTAAACACATTTGCATAATAATTTTAACACTTTTTTTTTTTTTTTTTTTTCTCCCCTGGAGCAAAAGGCATCCTGGGGAGGAAAAAAAACATCCTGTGTGCATGAGGCCCAAGTGTTTTGGAAACGGAAAGCTAATCTGACATTTGGTAAATATCGGTTTAATCTTTCCTTTCATTTTCAGAGGTAGCATTTGTAATTTTAAAGTGTTACTAAACGCACAACAGTAAAATCAGTCTCTGTAGTCAGTAAAGCATGCTTTTTATACTTACTATGGAACCTAAGGGGTTAATCCTCTGCATTGTGTAAATGGGGTGTTTGATCCTGCCTTCTCTGATCCTCCCTTTCATTTACTGTCCCCAATCCATCTGCCATGATACAGAGCAGCAGTGGCAAGTCTGCACTCTGTGTGTATTTCTAAAGAGTTTTTGTGTTGTTTTTTGGGAGGGTGTGGCATTTGATCAGCACAGGGCCAAGCAGCGTGGTCAGAACAGAGGGTCAGGGGTCATGCAGCCTCATAGGACAGTCAGAGGAAAATGAAATATTAACCAGTGCTCGGCCAGACACTAATAGAAGTCACAGGACTGCCATATACTGCTAATGAGACAAGGTATTTAGTGGTTTATTTTTACTAACAGTTACATTTCAATGTTCTGTGTACTGTGAAAGATCAGATATAGTGAATGCAGGGTCATGGGTTTAGTAACACTTTAACTGTTCAGGTTTTTCATGTTTCCTTCATACCACTTGGCTGTATTTTGCCCTTCTGACTGTACTGTGAACAACAGTCTGTTGCACTTTCTCTCTGTGACCCCATGATATTATATACATGAATCGGTTTGTGAGCAGTTTGGTGTTTTTTGTTCTGGGTTTTTTTTTTTCTGGATACTTTAATACATGTTATAGAGAAATTCACTGTAGTGTAGTCATGGGGAAATGTTTGTTTGAATATACTTTTTTGTTGCAGAAAGTAAAAAATTAACATTCAATTTGCATTTTGTTTAATTGTAAATCTTCTTCCTCTCTGCTTTGTCCAGATTCGCTGACTTTGTAGAGGGGTCATCTCATCTGTCACCAAATGAAGCCTCAATACATGAACATGAATATGGACTTGGTGGCTCTTTCTTGGAAGGAGAGTTATTTGGGGAGGAAAGTGACATGGATACTGAAGATAATGATGATGAAGTATTGGGACCTGAAGGTCATCCGCACTTATTTAGGTCACCCCATAGTTGAGGTTCCTTGGTCTTTTGTCTTTCATTCTTTTGGACTTTCCTCTTTCAAAAGCCATAGAATTGATAATGGAACTATTACTAGACATTTGAAAAGTCAATGGTTGAAAAGTGCACCAGAGCTTCTTACCATTGTGACCACAGACTTGTCACCAGAACCAGCTTAAATTCTTGGAAACAAAATATTCTCAGTGCTTCTTTTCCTGGAGAGCTGTAGATTTGCACTATTCGCTACTATGCAAAATGTTTTGCCTGCTGGATGATATGCTGTCCAACATCTGGGTGCATGTACAGTTACAATTTTTAATTATATTCTATGTTGATACCACAACAGACCGGTTTCTATTACAAATGTTTTTCTTTGTTTAGGACTTATTTGCACCCATGCCCCCACCCACATGTTGATGAACGTTGATATGTTGCAATGTACTTTGTGTTGATTGTCAATGCATTTTATAATGCACATCACTGTGCATTGATTTGCATCATAACACAGTTGTTTGATGCATTTTTTATTGCAAAAACACAGGTGTGAATCCAGCCTTATCCTATTCCTGCCAGGCTTTTATTGTCTTGGATCGAGTAGAGATGAGGTAGAAACTGTCCTTGACAATGTTGAGGAGATTTCCTCTCACATTACCACCAGGGTGAAGCACAGGGAAAAACTGCTAGTGGCGACACAAAGAATAAAAATGTGATGTAGATGCTAAACATCATCCTCTATAATATGAAAAGTGTTTCCATTGCCACTGTGTCCCTGTTAGTTTTCCCTTTGCTTTTTGTCCAGTAAATGTTGCTGGGAAGGAAAGTGAAGGAGAATCTCCCCAGCTATAACCCAGCCAGCAATGAAAACCTGACCTGAATATAATCCCTCCCCACTCAATCCAAAATTACAAAACAAATCCCTTTTATTAACCAAAGATGGTCTGGAAAAATAATGACCTCAGTTTTGTTTGTCAAAATGTAGAAATTTTTAAAATGTGTGTCTTTATTTCCTTTATGTTGTGTTTTTTTTTATAAGTTTTTGTTTTGTTTGTTTTTTTGTTTTTTTCAATATCAAATATATAAAGATACTATTAAAGAAAATCTTGGTGCCAGAGAACATGTTATTAGGGAAAGATGAATTCCCAAGCCTACCTCAGTGCCCAAGGATATAGGAGGGCCTCTTATATGTAGTGATATGCAGGTGTCATATATTATTATATAGTATTATACACAGTATCTGTGCTGACACTTAGCCCTAATGAAGTGTTATTCTATATTACCAATAGCAATTTTTTTTTTTTTTTTTTGCAAAAACAATATTTTGGATAACTTTGTGTGTGTGTTCAGCCCATATAAGCCACAGCATATTTAGGAAAAGTATTAAAGGCCATTGACAAAATATATTAAGGTCATTTTTAAAACTAGTGCAGGCTGAAAGCCAAGCAGGTAAAATATACGTTAATAAATATATTCAAATGTGTTAATTTACCCCAAGAAGACTACTTTCTGGGTCAGAGTTGCTAATGCCCCTTTAAATAAAGTCTGCCATTTTGAGTTTTCAGTAATGTGGTCAATAAAGGATTCCTGTTTACTGGGCACTATGTTGAACTGTACATATTGGCTTTACCTCATGAATTGGTGAAAGGGTGAGATTTTTGCACTGCTAAGTAATATGCACTTTGGGGCAGGGAAGTATATATGCTCTGAATCAGATTTCACCTCGCACAGAAATCTCATTGTGGTTTAACCTAATAGCATAAAGCAGAATAAATAAGATCACTTAACGCAAAACTAGGTTCACAGCATGCCCCAGACTATTTGTCACAATGTGACTAACAAAAGATACCCCCAGTGTTCACATCAGCAATACAAGGCTCTCGCTCTGATTGCAGCTACCGCCATCCTTCTTCCAGTTTTCATCTGGGCCTTGTCTTTCCTCTTTAGCCACTGGGCTGCCATGTGTTCTGGAGTTGCATTGTCTTGCCAACTTGTTTCATAGGCAGGTAAAGCAGTTCTTTTTTTTTTTTTTGTGTTTTTTCAGAAGATACTTTTTTCTATTAAAAATGCTATTGTATGTAAGTTTATGTTCCTTACAACAAAACTTTAATTCATCTTGAGTCTCTGCAGAGCATCTGATTTTAATATATATTTTGACATTAGGGCAGTAAAGGTGACACTCTACAATTTTCCACTGCAGGTGAATCAATTGCTGTAATTTTAAAATACATGCCTCAGGAAGATAAACTTGGGGGAGATTTACTAAAACACAATCTGGTGCAGCTGTACATAGTAACCGGTCACCTAACGTCAGCTTGTTCAATGACGCTTTGACAATCAAACCTAGGAACTAATTGGTTACTATGTACAGCTGCACCAGAGTCTGTGTGCTCCAGTTTGTCAATTTGACAAATGTTATAAATATATTCCCTTTTAATGTTTTCTTTTAGTAGCACTTCATAATTGTGTTGAATCAGTGAGGTTTCATGATCTTTAAAACAAACAAGATAGGTTGCCAACAGTAGAAAGGGTCTTAGCTGTGATGTCTGCATATATAGAAATAAAACAGCTTTGCACTTGGATATGGGTAGGACAGTAAGCTAAGCAAGACCTCCTATCAGAAATATTCTTGTGTGTGTAAAATCATTATTTGGCAGCCCCAAATGCGAAAACTGACATTGCTGAGGCATTCTCTAAATGTTGCTGCCTGCATCTTGTTAGATTTTTTTTTTCCTTCAGGTCAATTGAGCTGACATATTCTTCTTGATAAGAGGTGTAAAACAAGTAGAAAAGGAGGGGGCTATCAGGGCAATTTTATGGGGCTAAAATATTTGAGGCAACTAGGCTGTATAGAGCAGGATTGAGTGACCACTGTACACCGACTAATCCCTATTGGGTGAAGTATGTTACAGGGGGTGGTCCTAGGGAAGGGACTGCTATTGTGGTTTTCCTGTGGAATAAACTTAGTTCATAGTGACATTTTGGGGTGTGTTGGTCCCTCATTTCTGTATTTTTAGGAGCATGGGTGGCTCTGTTTGTACCCGACATTTCAGGTGGCAGCAGGAAGGTTTTGGCTTTACAACAAAAGGAATATTCCATATCCACTAGGCTGTATAATTTTTGCACAAAGGCTGATGAATAATGAAAAGAATAGTGTGGGCTTTAGAACAATTAAAGGCTAACATGAGTGGGCTTTTCCTAAATTAGCAGCATTATTATCAGTAGACCTATAATGTAAATGAAGTTTTCTCATATTGACTCTGCAGTAATAAACACTGCTAAAAATTCTCACTTTAAGGTGCTTTCAGTAATCCTTTCACATTGCAACATTTTGTGTTTGATATGAAAAGTATATTTTTATTAAAAATGTTTGTTCTATTTGCTTCTCTGATGTCTTTTAATTTCATACTGGGAGGGGAGAAGGGGCTAGGCTATGGTGTAACATTTTGGAGGCAGTATTCAACCACCGAATGACCACTTTGTTTTTAAATCATATTAAAAAAAAAAAAAAAAATGTATATGATATCATATATATTAGGCATTTTTGAGGTTTGGCTCAACCTCCAACCTGAAAAAAAAAAAATTAAGAACAGTATATAGGGGGATGAGGAATGTGGCGTGCACTGCAGGGCATTTGAGTGCCAAGAATTTTAGAAATGATGAAAAAACTGTCAGTGTCAAAAAAAAAGTAACAAGTGTTTTGCGTTTGAAACACTGATACAATCTACTGCTGCATGCAAGTTTTCTGCGTTAAAAAAAATGACTGTAAACGACGATGTGTACATGGACACATTGGAAAACAATAGGGTGAGTTCAGGGGCTGCTGAAGAAAAAAAAAAAAACACGGAACAGCTCCTAAACGTGAGGTTATCAGCTGCAGTGTACATGAGCCGTTAGTCTTTCTGGTCCACTTATCTTCCCTCCAGTCTAGAGCTGACTTTCAAATATTTGTCATTTTTGTCTGTTACCTTTTGTCTCCTGCCACCCACTGGTTTATTTCTCTGCCCCCTATGTTACTACAGGACTCAACAGTGACACAAGGGATAGAGGAGGAAACCACAGCAAGCAACAATACCAATGTGTGTCAAAAAAATTAAACCAAAAGATTTGATATATAAAGTGAAGGTATGATAAAGCCTTCTCTGCTTCAGAATAAATTGAAGATAGATGGTATGAACATGCCCCCATTCATGTATTAACCACTTGTTGCCCATCCATTCTGCATAAACAGCCAGACAATTGCCTTCTGAGGGTGGGAGGCAGTTTAAAAACACATTAGTGGTACTCCATGCAGCACAGTGGCTAAATGGTTAGCACTTCCGCTTGCAGTACTAGAGTCGTTGGTTCAGATACCAGCCACGGCACCACTGCCTGGAGTTTGCATGTTCTCCCTGTGCCCGCGTGGGTTTCCTCCCACATGCCAAAGACATGCTGGTAGGTTTATTGGCTTCTGTCTAAATTGGCCCTAGTATGTATATGTATGAATGTGAGTTAAGGACCTTAGATTTTACACCCCTTGAGGGTTAGGGACTGATGTGAATGTACAATATATATGTGTAAAGCGCTGTGTAAATTGACAGCACTACCTAAGTACCTGAAATAAATGCATGTGGACACAAGCAGGCTCTTTGATATCCATTGAACACAACAGATCACAAAGCAGGGTATGGAGCCAATGAAATTGGTCCTGCACTATGTAGTTGCTGACCAATCACAGCGATCACAATGTAAAGAGAGGTTGCGTTTTGCATCGCTCGCTTTGTTTCCTCTTGCAAAGTGGCCTTCCCTTCACAGTGCCTGTGCACCAGTCCCAGTGTCACCAGACCAATGTGAAGTGGGTACCCACTAAGAAAATCGGAAGAAATATTCCACATGAGGCATGATCGTACAATTTTTGTATAATATGTACACAACTTTTGACATCTGATTCAGACTTTCCAAACTAAAATTTCTGAAAGGATAAACTCAAAAATGTTTCTCGTACGCAAGCAGAACTAACAATTTTTGTTTAATGTGTGCAGT